TTTATAATATTAGTAGGGATATGATTGAATGTTCGTTTGTACAAAAAACTATATTGATTATTGTACTGGTAAATGATAAAATTCGTATTTGGTGTTGTGATTTATATTTTTCAAGTCTTGTCATCATTTCTAACGTTCTATAAGGATTTAACCATTAAGTTGGATCATGAAGTATAATTAATGTACTTATAACATCCCGTAGTTAATACCTCGCGATTATGGAGATTTTAATTGTTTGAAATGTTTATTCTTTATGGAAACACTGAACGGAAAAATATATAGTTTTTTTCTGTATTATAAATCCATATCCAGTTTACTTCAGTATGTGTGAACAGATAATGAACTGAAATTAACTTCTGCTTATTTGGATTCATATACGTTGGACTATCTTTGACCTTGTCCTTTTGACCTTTCATCTCCATCTGGCGTATATTGTATCTCTTCAATCCCCAGATGACTCTCGAACTTAATTGACACCGCAATCCGTATTTCGACATTTTTTTGTAATTTCTCGTTATGAGTATAAAAACATTGTTATGGTCTCGTTTTAAAGATTATTATTATACGTATTTTGTCACAATATTTAAGTAAAATTATGAATGTATTGTGGTATCGTGAATACGAGCTAAATTGCATCGGTATGTGACGCTCTTAATTGCGTCCATACCGACTTTCTTTTATAGCGCTCGTATAGATAATAGAATGCAAAGTTGGGACAAATTGCATTATTGTCAAAGAATTCAATGTCATTGCTATCATAAATGCCACATTCGTAAAATATATTTACCTTGAATTGCATAAAAATTTAACATTCATAAATAAATTCAAAATATATCTTGAGAACTAGGTAAATGTAATAAAATACCACTCGCCGTCCGGATATTGGCATCCTGACATTTTTATACATCGATCTCCGTTGTAAGGCTTCGACGGAAAACTATTTGTGGCATAACTGAAATGATGGGAGTTCACTAATAATATATAAATTGAAAGATAATCTAACTATTAGCTGATAATTAGTACGGCGTCTATGTATATTTTATATAGTGATGTGATTAAAACCGCTTAATGCGTTTTAGCGAGGCGAGCGAAAACTGAAGCCATACGGTAACAGCTAAGACGGTGTAGCAGTTTAGTATTTACTGGTTAATTGTTTCCAAGCACATTATACATAACATTCACGTGTCATTTGACTAAGGACTTCATGTAGTAGGAAATAGGATAGATTTTTGAAAATATTATGTTGTTTTATCACTATTATAAACGCGAAAGTTTGCGATATATGTATGTACTTTACTTCTTTTTTATTTTATATTTTTTCCTGTAATTAACTTAGAGATAACAATGATTCATGGCTTAGAATTTATCCTAAAATTCCGTATACTTATCGCGAGATATATGCAAGGCACGTATTGTGTTGTGTGAAGTCACGTAACTCAGACAATATATGTCACTGCAGGTTGCTTACTGTATCTATTATTTTAATAATATGTATATACAATTGTCTCTAAGCCTATCATCCACGCGGACAAAGTCGCAGTAAAACACTAATATAAAAATGAAAAAAAAAATGAATTCGTAGTTATATATAATACAATTTATGTGAAAAAAGAAAGACGTATAAAAGGATAAATTACAAAACAGTTTAGCAGTCGACAACAAAATGAGTCATACTAAAAATTAATATGAACTCCCCACAAATATTCTCTATATACAAGTATATATATTTTTCATACAATTAGCAAATTAAGCATTTGATGACAGGTGTCACACATAGAATTATAGAATTAAAGTTGTATCTTGAACAGACTATCTTACTGGGGAAGGAAAAGAAAGGAATAGAAAACTGAATAATTTCCATATCTTCATAAAACGGAATAAAGTAACAGCTAATTGAGGTAGATCATGTATTCTCAATTATTACCTATAAGATATTATATCAATAATAAATTTTACTATCGAAAGAGAGCGGACCGTTCCCTAACAGTTACATAACACTGAGAACAATACTATCTTTTATCGAAATAAACAATACTAGTACTGTTTTAAGACTACTTTCGCTTTTAGTGGCCATTTAGTGCTTCACATCTAGCCTGGAGCAGTTCAGCCGAAAATAATTTACTGTTTAAAAGCAAACAATTACACAAAAAATCTCTTTCAAAATTACACAAAAAAAATTACATGTCTGAATCTTGAGTGTCATTGATTTTATTCTGATCTCAATATACTTCATAATTTTAGATGAATTTCTTTAATTTATTTTATATATAATGAGATTTATAACTCGTCTGTCCGTGATCACGGTTGCTGAAAAGTAGCCGAATAGTATGTACTTTTTTTACAAAAAGTCGCGTAGTTTATCCGAAAACAATTAGTTTCATTTAAGTATTTTATTAGTTTGATATAAGTCAAAATAAGTATTTATATGAATAAGGTCATTGCTGTTTTTTCAGATAAATAACAAAGACATGACTAGATGAATTTGTTATGAAGCCATTAAAATTGTTTTTTACCCCGACGGAGTCAGGGAAGGTTCAAAAAATATTACGTTTTATATTTTTTCGAGAAACAAATGATGATCTGTTCCTCATTATATATATTTCTGTTATAATTTAAACAAATAAGTGTACAAGAAATACCTACAATCATTTTATGTCAATAATCAAAGTTTTGTTATTTGAATTTTGTTATGATTCAAAATAAAATAATTAACAAATACGTGGCTAGTATTTTCATTTTAATTTTTAATGTCGATAATTTCGATCCATCGAAGTATTAAATGCATTTCATTTCTTAATGCTCCTGCAAGTTGTAAAGAAATATTACAAGCGTTTTAACTAACAACAGCTTAAGAGATGCCATAAATCACTATGACAATTCTCTTATGCTTACAATGTATGCAAATGGTATGAGTAAACATTGGTAAAAAGTTATATGTTTACTATATGTCTATGAGAAGTTGTACTTGCGAGAAGTCAAATACGAATATATTTATAGCTTCCTTGAAAACATTTGTATGACGAGAAAAATAACTTGATACTGTTATTCAAACTATACTATTTATTTAAAATAATCAGTGGATTGATCTCTTTCAAATTAATATTTTATTTTACAGCCTGAGTTACTTAAGGATTAATGTTGAATAAGTTAAAAACATCTCGTCTGCCCGTGATCAGTAGCTTAAAAGTAGCCGAAACGTCGGTAATATGTAGTTTTATCACAAAAATAAACTTGTAGTATATCCGAAAAAGTAAAAAAAAATTGTTAAAAAGAATTTTTTATCATGATAGTTAACATTCAAGTCTTACTTTCTTGTTTACGTAACAAATGCTTAATATCATTGATTGATGTTCGGCTTAAATCTGTTTATTATACAATTTTTATGATGTACATACATATTTATAGCTTTATACATAGTTAGGCATAAATTTGTTTCCTTAATGGTACTTTAACATAATGTACTTTATAATGTAATTATTGAAAAACAAAGATTTAGAAGCCTTCCTTATTTATGCCTGATATAATTAAATTTTAGTATACAATCTTCTATTTTATATAAATAGCATTTTATTGTTTCAATTTCTTGTAAGTTTCAATCAATCTATCTCAATAATTTAGAATATTAATGGCAAAACTTGTAAATTTAATTATTATTTATATCATGACTAATCCAATATTTTGTTTGTTTTGTATGTGTGTGTGTATTTGTTCCGGTATAATGTTTTAATGCAAAGCCGGTATAATAATGTTTGAATAATATAAATAAAGTTTTATAAGCGCATCGTCTCGCACGTTAGTTATTGCTTGTGAATTTTAACATTTATCTTTATTGTCAAGATAAAGAGATGCACAAGTTATTCTATTTTAGGAGGGCGCGTCACTCGCTACAGGCCGACGCAAAACAACGTTTCCTTATTTTGTTACAGATTTATACCAAACAACTATTTCAATAAAACGTACTGACGGACTATATGTATATACATATAGTATTATATACTAAACTATGTATATATAAGTATATATATATATATATATATATATATATATATAGTCTAGTTTCGTTTAGTTTATATACTTTCAACCGCCGCTTTTTATGAGTCATTATATCATTATTTATATTCTATATAAGAACCACATAATACTCTTTTTTATATCTTGAATTGTTAAGTATTTTTAAGATTTTATAATTTATTTTTAATACTAGCAGTTCATGTTTTTTTTATGCATGTTTATTATTTTTATTATTAAATGAGTATTGTCGTAGTGAGATTACTAAATGTGTTAGTAGAAAGAGTATGTGAGGCCGGTTGACTGTGTTTTATTAATAAATATAATTTGTTGAAATGCATGAGATTGAGTCGTTTGACGAGTGCTTAATGCACATAAGTGGTTGTTTGTCCTTCAAGTAAGATTTCGAATAATTCTAGTGATATTAACTTTCTTTTATTTAGTTATTTCTATTAAACCGTTGGGTCCTTTTAAATAAATAATGTCTTGTGTCTTTTTATGGTTCATAAATTATAATAGTGTTCTGTTTTTTAATGATTATAATTTATTTAAAAAATACTATCGTTAGAAGTTTATATGTATTGTAAAAAAATAATAATACTTATAATTTAAGACATTTATAATGATGCCGTTAATATTATTTATGTACATAAATGCTAAAATTATTCATTTTTTCGTCTTTAAAACTCTCTCTAGCAGTTTGACCAAACGCGGGCAATCCTCGTCAAAATAAACATTACATTATTCTCTTTTTCTCAACCACGAAATGATCTGAACAGAATGTTTCGATTGGTTCCATTAGATGAGGCAAAGAAAAACTTTGCATCACGGGTGACGTAACAGAACATAAAGCCGGCTCGCAAAAAATACCATCAAACAATTACAGCGACTGTTAGGACGCGAACTAAAGAGACTGTAGAAAACATCAACAATCATTCGTTCGTAAAAAAACTGTAACTTTCACGCTAACGGAGAAAGTGACTCAAGAATTATCAGGGAATTTTCGCGTGTGTATCGTCTAAATAAAATGACCCACCTTTGACGAGCCGCTGCAGGATGATCTCCTTGTGCTCATGAGTATGGGGTTCGCCGATGACGGCCAGCAGATAGCATCCCGTGAGGGGGCTCGGGGGGGGCACGGAGGCTGACACCTCCGTCCCCAGCGACAGGGACCTGTCCTCCTCGTGGTCCATCGCCGACGGCGGCGCCGGCACGACTGCCGACGGATCGCCAAGCACAGCGAATAGAACCGACCGCTCCGGGCGACAACTCCGATCGGAATGCCAGATGCCTTCAACACCCGGCCTCCTTACGTTTGCGCGCGCACTGGCCCGCAATCGACCGGCGCAAGACGCAGACGCGCCGACGTCTAGCTCCAACCGGGACTTTCTCTCTCACCTGATTATGAACTTTCACCGTGTGTCAGAGAGAGTGGGAAGATGTTAGGGCGTATACAGAAGAGGTTTCAGGCTGGACGGCGCACACGTGATCTGCATTGCGTCTAAACAAGCCGGCTGACTAACCTCAGCTCAGCTGTTAGCCAAAGGTTGTTACAATCGATAATGATATAATAGTAGCAGGCCACTGTTTGCGGACATTTCGGAACTGGCCACTTGTATTATTACCCGATCCAACTCGTTCTACCTCTCTCCTTCATACTTTATAAAGGCATTTTTCTATAAATGAATATTTTACTCGGACCGCTTAAAGGCCGTAGGCATACTTAAATTCCTTTGGGTCGCTAATCGCCTCGTTTTCGAGACCCAAAAATGGAGCAATTAATCACAGGGGTATAGGCTATATAAGGCTTTCTGGATTATATTTTAGAAATAATTTTTAAGAAAACAATTTTTCCATTAATACTGAAATTTATTTTGTACATAAGAATATAATAATTTTAAATAATAAGATTGAGACACATTGCAAAAAAAATTGGATTATTAATAATAATAGATGAATACTAGTACAGTAGTATGTAGTAGTACTTATTTTAGTCTTTATAAATCTATATAAGGTTTACTTACACTTAAAATGAAATCCAATAACACCCAAAATCGTATTTGTAGAACTCTGATAGATATTACGTGTGTGAGTTTAGGTAAGTCGAAAAGATCGTACGAAAACAGATATAGAGCCTGAGGGCTTATGTTTACACAACTTGAGAATTACTTATAAATTGTTGAACGAAACTTCTAAAAGAACGTTTTATGTTTCAGTAAGCACTTCTGCCTTAAAATAAACAATTATATAGAGAATTAACTATTAAATGTACTAGTATATGACACAAATATGTTGTATATCTATATATATATATAAAAATGAATCCCTTTTTCCCTTAATCATGACATCACTCGTGAACGGCTGGACCGATTTAACTAACTCTTTTTTTATTGTATTTATTATTATTAGGAGAAGGTTCCTATGTCAGAAAAAATTACGAAAATTTGTAGAAAAAAAAAACTAGAATATTTCACTTTTTCAATAAAATAATGGGTAGCGTAGTAATATTCACGTAGTTGTCATTAAAACAAAGAAAGAATTAAAACAAATTTGCATGCTCTTTGCAAATATATCGGTCGGAGTTGGTCTGTGGCCGGAGTTATAATAACTAAATAATATACATAATTCATTAACCATTTCTTGGTGTACTTTTCACATTGGTTTCTACAGGATAATTTGTATTGTATGTAACAGATATTTCTTTATTATAGGGCGGTACGAAGTTCGCCGGGTCAGCTATTAATATATGATTTCTTTTCATCTTTTAACGATATATTATAATTAAAATTGTGTTCTAACTTTGTACGTAAAGAAATAAAAAAAAATAATTAGATTAAATTAATCCAACATGTTAAATGTTAAACAAAGTTAATCGCATACAAGTTTTTGTTACGAAAAATATGTTTCGGAAATCCTCAAGTAAATACAGAGCATTTAGTGAAGTTCATTGAAGTGAAGTGAAGCGCAGCTGTCGGACACTCGTTGTTTTTATACTTGATTTATTTTAGATTTATCGAACATATTTTTATCAAACATTGCATTTTTATTTTATAACACTACTTGATTGAGTTCATTCATTCAAATCTTTTGGAATAACATTTATATTGTATCAACAAATTAACGTCTCTCTACGATATTTACAGTTTTATTTAAGTTATAATAAATCCTAAAAATACTTTATACTTTTTTAAAACCAATATTTAACTAATCTTAGTTTTATTTGAATAAAATTTGAGAACTGCTTAGGTGATTGATGTTGAAAATTAATTCAGAAGCTGTAGAGAAATATATTATTATCATAGATACATATAGAAGAGTTAAAGAAAATATTTTATATCCCATTTATTGATTAAATATATATTAGACAAAAGTTACTTTATGAACAATGCAATATGATGATTACATTATATTAAAATTAGTGTACCAATTTAATAAAATATCATCTAGAGAAACGTGAAGAAAATACAAAGACATATCTATATAAAAACAAATCTTAAAGATATTTTCTGATATCCAGTTATATCAATATATAGATTAATAGTTCTCAATATATATATTTACTGCATTCTTCACCACTCGTACTATCAACGTACAAACAAGATACAAGTCACAATTAGTTAAATAAATAGTAATATTTTAGTTATTCCCAAAGAGGGTTGATGTCAGGCATACGACCGGTCGTAAAAACAACTGGACAAAACTATAACATGTAAGCAGACCCTGGCTAAAGCTGGGATATTGCCAGGAAGAATTTTAGTTATAAATAACAAGTTACTGTTTAAATATCAAACAGTTTGCTGCGGGTGAAATCGATAATACCTCGACTATCGTGTGACTACAGACGTCATACGAAGATTAACTGAGATGAACACATGCTCGAAACAAACGTGTACGAAGACAGAATGTTACTTTCATATGTATTAAACTCAAATTATTATATATACTACATAATTATTAGTATTATTATTGGATTAATTCTTTATTTCAATATTGGTCACTTGTAATATTAATTCTTTGTTAATATAATTCATTACGAACATTAATTTAAGGTAATTAGAGTATTATATTTTAAACTATATGGTAGTGTTTGTATAATCAAACTAATTTTACAGCATATAAATCTATAATATATATTGCTAACGAAATAAAAATAAATAATTTATTAATTTTTATACATTTTGGTTACCTTGAATACGTTTGTTGCATCAAAATGAATTGATTTAAAATGAACAAAAATGTTATCGACGTATGACGCATTCGCCATGGCTTCCCTGTAGCCTGTAGGGGAGGTTAGAATGACGTCACTTCCGTCCCGATATCTTCTTGGAATCGATGGCTCTACCCTCGTATGTTTAAACCTTTGTTACATTTAGTGCATTTATTTCGACGATAATTTTCTGGCTATATACTTGTTAAACATTAGTATTGAGTACTTTATAATCAGAACTATTTAATAGTATTGTTAATTTATTTAATATATAGTTAAAGAATAGGCTCTTTCTTGTAAGAAATATGTATTTTAAATAGTAAGTACATATTTATATACTTATGTTTGTTTTGATGTCTGTATTACTTTTTTTTTCACGTCAAAGGCTAAGGAGTCTTGTCTCAGTATATAGTTAAGCTTAATAACATAGATTAATGATACTTCGTACAACGGAGTAATTACAAGACTCATTAAAAAATGCAAATAAACAGTCATACTAAATACAATGTCATATGTTGTGTTAATTAATAATTGTAATGGTACATTTCATTAAATACTTATTTTAATAACTCCACCCCTATAATGCACGGAATACTAATTCCCGAAAATACAATTAATTAATTTAAGCAAAAAAATAGGGTGCAATGAAAATGCAGGTAATATAACAAATTAAATTTACTATTTCTTTAAAATAACTGGAATATGTTCTGACGAAGCTAGGAGTTTTCGATCTTTTGAGACGATCATAGTGAAATAAATGTTATAGATGATTGTGTCTTATATTTAAAACAACCAAAGCTTCTCTTTATTCAGGAAATAAACATAAAATAACCAACGATATTATGACTCCTCTCGTCCAAGTTCACGTTTTCCCATCAAGGATTTCCACTAGTAAAGAAAAATAAGTCGATGTAAAAAAACTATTTAAAAGAATGCAGCGGATTCAAAAAGAATGTAAGTGTATTTAGTTTCACTTCATTTATTAAACTATTTTATATATTTTTATATTATATGCAAGTAATAATTAAGCTCACCCGATGTAAATAAAGGAAGTGTTTTAGTTACTTCCTATCACTGTTGGATAAATGACTGTGCGTAGTATAAATACTATGTCATTTAATTTTATTATTCAGTACTGTGATAGTCACTCAATTAAAATGACTCTAGCTTTTATAGTCTTGTTATTTAACGGCTACTAACTAATGTGTGAAATCGTAATCTTTAAATCAATAAAGGTACCTCTGGGTTTTAGTGGCTATCCTGGTTATTGGGACTGGTGCATTCTGCATAAATCCCTCCATCTTACCCTTGACGGAAGGTAGATATGAATTCTTTTGCAGCCCAAAAACGAGATACGTCTTTCTTCATAACTTATATGAGGTATTAAAATAAATAATTTTATATAATATATAGCGTTTGTCATATAATTAATTAAAAATACAGTTTCAATTATTATAAAATAAATATTTATATTTTAAATATAACAGAGATTGATAGACTTCAGATTAATAATTTGTAAATAAAGGAAACAGGCCAACTCCAACTGTTACTCCAACTTGTCATTCTAATTAATCTTATTTATTTGTAAGTTATTTTTTGGATTATTGATTTTTAAATTCATAGTATAAGTGACTTCTAAGTGCTCTATAAAGAAACAATATGTCTCTAAAAATACTAACCAAACTTGATTTCAAACTATTTTGTGTAGCAAAACATTACTTTATTTGAGAAGAATCAAAAACTGCCTTGTAATATTAATATTTTCGATCAATATGTAAGTTTTTCTTTATTTAAGTATGTGAAAACTCTTAAACTTCATATTTTAGCACATCTTCAGCCCTGTTTCCTCGTCCGCCTTCATTACCGTCTGATGCGACCCATTTTCTCGTGAAAACTTATCCCACTTAAACATTACCGTCGGAAAAACCTTTCTGCAGTTAACCATTTAGTTAATTACACATATTATTATAAAAGTGCTATGAGTAATTTTAACTTTTTAGCTTTTAGTGCTAATTTTAACAGATTTTTACCATCAATCTTCTATTATTTGGTGATTGTAAAACTTACGTGACTTATGAGAAACATATGTCTTACTTATATCAGATATAATTTTAATAAATAACATAATAACGAAACATTGGTATATAATTATTTAAATAAGAAAATGGTTTA